GCATTCCGGAACAAATTAAGTCTGAGAATGGAGGTTCCATTGTATTTTCTTCCATTCTAAGAGCTCTCTTTTTTGCTTTCTTTGTGTCCTTTGAAGCTCAAAACTTTTTTTAATTTTGAGGAAATTCAATTTATCTTTTTTGTTTTGATCACTTGTACTTTGCTCTCATGCCTAAGAAACCACTGGCAAATCCAAGGTCACAGATATANGTGTTTTGATCACTTGTACTTTTTGCTCTCATGCCTAAGAAACCACTGGCAAATCCAAGGTCACAGATATACTGTATGTTTTCAAAAAACTAGAGTTTTATAGGATTAATTTTTTGTGTCTATGATCTATCTTGAGTTAGTTTTTGTATATGGAGTGATGTAGGGGTCAGACTTCATTTTTTCCCCTGTGGGTACCCAGGTGTCCCAGTACCATTTGTTGAACAAAACTATTCCTTGAATTGTTTTACCACCTGTGTTGAAATCAGGTGGCCTCAAGTGTGAAGATTTATTTCTGGATTCTCAGTTTTATTCTGTTGACTATCCTAATGCCAGTACTACAGTGTTGTAATTGTTGTAGCTTTACAGTAAGTTTGAAATCCGGAAGTGTGTCTTTCAATTTTGTGCTCCTTTTACAAAAGATTGTTCTGGCTGTTGGGTCTCCTGCATTTCTGTGGGAATTTCAGGATCAGCGTGTCAACTTCTGTAACTAGGCCAGCTAAGAGTTTTCCAGTGATTGCATTGAATCTGTAGGTTAATTTGGAAAATATTGCCAACCTAACAATATTAAGTCTCCCAATTCATTTACATGGGAGAAGTCTCCCAATTTAGTCACGTGGGATGTTTTTCAGTTTATTCAGATCTTTAATTTCATTGTATTTTGTAATTTTCAGAGTATATATTTTTCATTTCTTAAATTTGTTCCTGTTTTTTATTCTTTCTGATGCTTTTTTAAATGGAATTTAAATGTCTTCATTTCATCTTAGATTGCTCATTGCTTGTGTACAGAAGTACAGTGGTTTTTGTATATTGATCTTGTATCCTATAACCTTGCTTTGCTCACTAGGTTCAAGAGTTTTTTAGTGGTTTCCTTAGGATTTTCAATATACAATTGACCTTTGAACAACACAGGTTTGAACTACGTGGGTACACTTATATGAGGGTTTTTCTTTTTAATCCTCACCTGAGGATATTTTTTCCATTGCTTTTCAAAGAGAGTGAGTGAGTGAGTGAGTGAGTGAGTGAGTGAGTGAGTGAGTGAGTGAGAGACATCGATGTGAGAGAGACAGATTAATTGGTTGCCTCCTGCACGTGCCCCGACTGGGGCCAGGGATTGAGCCTGCAACCGAGGTAGGTGCCCTTGGTCAGAATCGAACCCAGGACTCCTTCAGTCCATAAGCAGGTGCTCTAGCCACTGAGCCAGACTAGCTAGGGCTGTGTGGATTTTTAAAAAAATAAATACTGTAAATGTATTTTTTCTTCCTTATGATTTTATTGATATTTTCTCTAGCTTACTTTATTGTAAGAATTCATATATAAAATATATAACATATAAAATGTGTTCATCGACTGGTTTTGGTCAACAGTAGGCCATTAGTAGTTAATGTTAGGGGGACTCAAAATTACATGCAGATTTTTTACTGCATGAGGGGTTAGCACTGCTAACTCCCGTGTTGTTCAACGGTCAACTGTACAAGGTCATGTCATCTATGAATAAAGAAAGATCTACTTCTTCCTTTCCTATCTGGATGTATTTTATTTCTTTTTCCTGACTAACTGCCCTGGCCGGAACCTTCAGTACAGTGTCGAATAGAAGCGTTGAGAGTAGATACCCTTCTCGTGATCCTCATCTTAGGGAGAAAGCTTTGTCTTTCTTAAGCATATTAGTTGTAGTTTTTTTGTACATGCCTTTTATTCAAGTTGATGAAGTTAATTTCTTTTTCTAGTTTGTTTAATATTTTTATCATCAAGGGGTGTTGGATTTTATCAAATATTTTTTTCTGTGTCTGTTGAGATTGCTCATATGGTTTTTGTCCCTTATTCTATTGATACATAGTATATTACATTAGTTGATTTTCTTTTCTTTTTATATATGTTTTTATTGATTTCAGAGATCGGAAGGGAGAGGGAGAGAGAGATAAACATTAATGATTGTTTATCAATGAATCATCGATCGGCTGCCTCCTGCACGCCCCCTGCTGGGGATCAAGCCCACAACCCAGGCATGTGCCCTGACCCGAAATAGAACCAGGGGCCTCTTGGTTCATGGGTCAACACTCAACCACTGAGCCACGCCAGCCAGACTCCTTAGTTGATTTTCTGTTGGTAAACCAACCTTGTATTCCTGGGATCAGTTCTGCATAGTTGTGTTGTATAATCCTTTTTAATATGTTGCTGGATTAGGTTTTTATGGTATTTTTATTGAGGATGTTTGTTTTATATTCAGAAGAGATATTGCTTTGTAGTTTTCGTGTGATGGTTGTCTGGCTTTAGTATCATAGAATACATTGGGAAGTATTCTCTTCTAATTTTTGGAAGACTCTGAAAAATTGGTATTAATTCTTCTTTATATGTTTGGTAGAACTTACCAGCACTTCCGTATGGAACTAGGCTTTACTTCTTGTACAGTTTTTAAAATTACTATTAAATCTCTTGTTTAAAATGTTTTCACATTTTGTATTTTGTCTTGAGTCAATTTATGTAACTTGTGTCCATTGAAATTTGTCCATTTCATTCAATAGCATACAGTTGTTCATAGTATAATCTAATTTTCTTTTCTGTAAGGTCACTAGTAACAACCTCTCTTTTACCTTTGATTTTAGTAGCTCCAGTCCCTTTTCTCCCTGTTTGTGCTATTATTGTTATATGTGTGACCTCTATAGATGTTACAAATCCAATGACATACTGTTATAATTATTACTTTATACAATTTTGTCATTATAAGAAGAGAGATGAGCAGGTGTATACTTACAGCTTTTGTTATCTTAATCTTCATATTTACATATTTACAAATTCATAAATACATTTTTGTTTCTCTTCATTTGTTCTAAATCAGACCTTTCCTCAGATATATCCAAACAGTGTCAGCCAAAAGGATGGAGACAAGGCTCTATGTGTAGCTGTTAGTTTGTACATGGCACAGCTAATAATTACCACTAGCACTGCCATAGGTGTGTGTTTATTTTGACAGTTATTGGCAGATGGACGAAATGTCTTGTTCTAATTATTTCAGTCAGTATATAAATGTCAGTAATTTACAGTTTAGTGCAATTAAACTTTCTATGATGATAAAGTATTCTATATCTCTGCCTTCCAGCATGGGGGTCAGTAGCCACACGTTGTTACTGTTAAGGATTTGAAGAACTGAGTTTTTAATTTTAATTAATTTATATTTAATTTTAAATGGCCACAGCTAAAGGCTCCCATATTGAACAGTGATGTTATAATCTCAGATGTCCCCTTCCTTAATATTGTGATTAAACCTTATTAGGTAGATTAAAGGGAAGAACCTCCAAATCAGTGCTGATAGTTTCATATATTATAAAACTTGTAGACTGGGCTGTGGGACTCTTTTTTTTTTAATGTTTTTTTAAAATTGATTTTAGAGAGAGGAAGGGAGAGGAAGAGAGAAACATTGATATGAAAGAGAAACATCGATCAGCTGGCTCTTGCACAGCCCCACCAGGGATGAACCCACAGCCCAGGCATGTGCCGTGACTAAGAACCAAGCAGTGATCTCCTGGTTCACGGGCCAGCGCTCGGCCACTGAGCCACACTGGCCGGGGCGTGGGGATCTTTTTTAAAAAGCTGTTGTATCTCTTCCAGCCATCTNTCAAGCAGTGATCTCCTGGTTCATGGGCCAGCGCTCGGCCACTGAGCCACACTGGCCGGGGCATGGGGATCTTTTTTAAAAAGCTGTTGTATCTCTTCCAGCCATCTAAAAACTTAAAATGCTGATAAAGACACCTGTGTGATACAAACACCCCTGTGTGGGACCATGGCCTGGGAGGTACAGAGAGTCCCCAGATCTGCTTGGGGTGCAGTGGCGCACGGGGCCCCTGCTCTGTGCTTCCATCGCACTGAATGCCATGCAGACAGTAAGGAGGGGAGGGGTTTTTGTTTTGTTGGGGTTTTTGTTTTGTTTTTTTCTGCTTGTGAGAAACAGGGAAAGAAAAAGAAGAAACCTTCAAAGCTGCCATTGAAAACATTTACCTTATGCAGATAGCAGTTGAATAAAAGGAATAGGACCCTTCCTGCTCTCCATAGCAAATTTTCCAAAGAGTATAGTGCTTGTAAAAGTTTCTGCAGACCCTCAGAATCTTCCTTGTAGTCTTTGAAGTGAGATAGAAGCTCCTGTCACCCATTATCCTCACTTCTTAGTAAGGCATACCTTTCATTGCTTCCAGTAAATGTTTCTCAGATATGTATTGATGAAAGCCAGACTGCTTGTAGATAACACAGACAGAAACAAAACGGCTGTTCCTGTTCCATAAACCATGATAATAACATGTTCTTTGGGTTTCTTTTCTTTATAAAAAAGAAAGAAAGAAAGAAATGTAGATGTTTAACTTCAGGTATGTTAATGCCCATTGCGGTTTTCCCTTCTCTTATTAAGACACTTAGTAACATACTTTGTTATTTAATTATCTCAAATAATGTATAACCATATCCCAGCTGCTTTCAAACATTTTTGGAAGTTCTATTACCATTTCGACACAATGAAAGCCTGGGCTGCAAAGCCTCCGACATTTAACATTTCATTTTCTCTGGGCCACATCAGTGGTATAATCAGGAGCATAGGAAGAAGTTACAATGCTCAGCTCCAACCTAGGATATAAAAATAAATCTCTTTAGGTGGATCTTAAAAATCATTTTCCCTCTCTAAGGGGAAAAAAATGCTGCAAAGAGAAAAGTTAAAAGTCTGGTTAGCTTAACAGTGTGAGAGAGTCAAGCCTATAGGTCAATAAGTTTTCCGCAGGTGAGTCAATGCCGCCTCCTCCTCTGTCGTTCCAGGTCATAGATCTGTACTGGGGAGTGGATGCAGACGACTGGGACAGCCCGGAGCTGCAGAAGACACGCATGAAGCTGCTGGAGGATTGTTTGAAAACTTCTGCAGGTCCATGTTTTGTTGTGGGTATAAAAAAACTAATGCTTTATATTAAATTGTAGATGAATGTGAGAATTCTTGCTGATCTGTGATTCTTATGGGGCTTTTAAAATGGGGGGGGGATACTGGTTTTCTATTTCTATTTAAAGATGTGTGAGAACAAAGGAGCACTGCAAATTCACGGTGAATAATTTGAAATGGGAGGGATGACTTGGGTTTCACAACCGTTTCCACAGTGCCTGCGGTCAGCAATAAGGATTACTGTATCAATCCTACAGTAATCATCCTAAGTTTCCTTATATTGTATAATGTATTTAATCATAGAGTCTCTATTTTTCAACATTAGAGTTTCTGACTGTTTTTTTAAGCACAGTGGCTGAAATGCTCCAGATATGCTATGTCACATCCACCAACAGGAGGTGATGCCCTGTAAAAAGTGTTGATTATGCAGAGATTTCCAGCTAGCTGCTCATTATAAGCTACAAATTCAAGTGGAACATTATTATTAGTTCATAATTTTGTTCTAAACAATACCCACTCCTCTGTGTAAGCTCAGTGGTAGTAAGATAAGATAAGGTCAGTATATGGCAGGTGATGGTGCAGAAACTGTCTTAATTTAGCTTAAGCACCTTATCTTGAATCCAAACAGATCTACCAATTGATAGGGCAGTTGCCCCTTTCAACATAGGAAGTTTTGAGTCTGACAGATGAGGGGTAAAATTGCTAGTGAATGCTATGAAGAAAATACCAAATCATACAATTAAAAGCGAGGTTCAGTATATCAACAAAAATGCTGTTAATACTTACTTGCATATCCATCTATATTCAGCTCCACATAGGATTAAGATAACAAGAGATATCACAAACCTGACCAGTTGATAAAGTCCTTACCAGAAATAATAAAGTACATGAAAGCTCTGTAATATAATATTTTTAATGTCAGTGTATGGATAAATTATTCATTTATTCACCAGCTCCTTATTGAATATTACTCTGCACCAGGGGCTGCTCTTAGTGCTGGGGTGTGGTCGGTTGGCCCATGCGAAATAGTCATGTTGTGGGCCGGTTTCGTATGATTTAACCTTAGAACTGAACTTAGAAGATAAAACTCTGCCCTCGCAGAGCTTGCATTCTTCCTTGGGCGTAAGGGGAGGGAGCAAGCAAATCTCAGAGGCCTAAGTAAAAGAAACGAGTCAGATGGTGAGACGTGCTGTGGGGGAAAATACGGAAGAGGAGAGGGAACAGCAGTGCGGTGAGAGGTTTATTTTCAGTAGAGCAGTTGCGGAAGGGCTCCCGAGAAGGTGACTTTGGAAGGGAGATGGGAAGAGCGGTGGGGAAGAGGCAGGGGGGTGTTCAGAGAGCGCCTCCAGGGAGGGGAGCTGGGAAGGCGGTTGTCCTGTTCGGGGACCAGCCAGCAGGCCAGTGTGCCTGGGGCAGTGAGAGCAAGGGCCAGGGGACAGAGATGCACCACATCACGGGCTCCCTCATCTGAAAGTCGGCTGTAAAGACTTTACTTTTACTCTGAATGACATGAGAAGCCGGAGTGTTTTGAGCAGAACACTACAGCGCTCTGACATAGCTTAAGGCGTCCACGGCTGCCGGGGGTACCGCAGAAGGCAGAGCAGGGAGGCCCATTGGAAAGCTAATGTTACAAGCCGAGCGAGACACGTGCATGGTTTAGGGGCAGCTGAAGAATGGACACCTGAAAAGAGCATCCTGTGGTCTGAAGCGAACACAAGAAGTCCTGCAGGCCATGTTAGCTATTTGAAGAGCTAGCAGTGGCGGAGGAGTGAAGACTTTTCCATGGGCCTTTAGAAGATAGAACTAGGACAAGCGGGTGGAAATACAAGGAGGCAGATTTCAGCTCCAGGGAAGAAATCAGAGGGTCTTGCAGTCTCTCGGGTTTTAGGGTCATGTATCCCTGGGTCCTTAACTAACATGTCATAACTGTGTGACATTGGAGGGGTTCCTTTATGACCCTAAGCCTTAGTTCACTTATCTGTAAAATGAAGATGATGATGACCATAGTTATCTACCTTCTGGTGTCATTCTGAGGATGAAATGAAATTACAGGGCACATATAGTGTCTCCCGTAGAGTAACCACAATGAGCGTTGGTTATTATTTGCTGTTGTAATCATTTATTATCATCCCTCAAAGTTGTCTAAAGATGAAATCACCTGCCCCAAGTTGTAATGAGTGTGTCACCAACAAAGTTGTCATTAAGGAATGACTCGGGCAGGGAGTGGTGCTACAGAAGAGATCCAAACATTGGAAGGCAAGTTGGAACGGATTTCGTCACGCTGAGAAAGCCAGATTTGGGAGGTAACAAGCGCTGTGGGTTTGCCCTGGGGAATCTCAATGGCTATGATTCCCTAGCGCTATCTGTTCCAGCCTCAGAAATTCAGGAATGAGAAAGACATTCCCTCCCTTTGATTGCCCTGTAGAGTGTCATGCCCAAACTAACCAAAATTAGTCATGGCCAACACTTTGCTGGTAGGGGGATGAATAATTTAAAGACTTCTCAAGTTTGTGCGGGTTCTGAGAGTAAAAGTTAACTGATAGAACATCAGTGACAACTTTATTGAGCATAAACAAATCATTTATCCCTCCCCCTGCTCCCTGTTACATGTTGAAACTCAGGGCAACCATAATGAAACCCTGTGGGTAGAGCTAGGATTATTCACCCCAGTGATCCGGTATCACCCAAGGCTTATCTCACTGCTTATAGGAAAAGTACTGCTCCTAGGGCCTTTCTCATTGTAACTGTGGTGACTGTGGGCATACATGGGTCGCTTTTGAGCTTCACTTTCCTTGCTCAGTGCTCCCTTGCGATATTTTAGACATCATGATCACCCCTGTGGGTTGCAAAGCATGGCATATTACTTTACCTGATGGTGAAGTCTTTGGTGAGAAAATTAACCATTGCTGAATGGAAAAATGTTTTTATGTCTTCAAAGGCTTCACAGACATTAGCTCTTATATTTGATACAAATACATTCAGAACCAAACAAAGCTTTCACTTTAAGTACCCAAGGAATTGGGATCCAGAGGGAACTTGGACTGAAATGTTGTATGAGCTTGGCTTTTTTGAACTTCATTTTCAATAAGTTGTGCTTTGGGTGATGGTCCAGGGTCCTAGAGATGTGCCAACTGTGCCTGCTTATTCCAGGCAGCTGTTTGAACACATCTGTATTTTTAAGTCCTTTTTAAAAATGTAAATAAAAATCTAAAATCTCATACTTTCCAGATATATTTTGCTTGTAATAACAAGAGAAACAAAGGCTTTTTAACATGCAGTATTAAGCCTGTCTAGTTGAAATCAACTAGTCATCAGAGTTCTAAAATAGGTTCCAATTAGGTTCCCATAATAAATTGGTCCCAGGAATAAATTACTTATCACCAGAAGAAGTTAGAATGGGCAAACGTTGGAAATTATTGTTGAAAAGAGAGCTGGCTGTCACTGGTAAAAGCCGAGAGAGAGTCATTGAGTTAATGGTTGCTAATATATAAAGTATTTTCACAACAAGTTTTGATTAATACATAAGCTATTTCCATTGTTTCACAGTTCATGTAATACAGCATATTTTTGTTTGGTAAAGAGAATTATGGAGAAAAACTGAACTGGAGAGCAACCAAACTCTTTATAACTCAATTTGTAAGAAAAAATGTTCACTTAAGGCTACAGTCCTAAGGACATCTGCTTCTGAGTAGACCTGCAACAGCTTAAAAAACATAAATTATAAACATCCTATTTTTAAAGAGATAATAGAGCTGCTGGGAAAAGGATGATTCCCCCAAAATTTCCAGGGATGAGAGCTCTTTCTTGGTGAGCTGGCTTCACAGAGGAGCCACTTTTAAAGATAGTCTGGCATTTATTTGGAAAATGACACAAGTACAAGTTTAAGCTGACCTATAATAAGTCAAGGGTAAATACTGTCACCCCTGTGTACAGGAAAACCACTAAAGAGGAATATAAAAAGATATAAATAAAAATCTCATGGAAGGGATAAAATAGATTAATAAAAATAACTTTTCTCAAAGAAGGCTGGGAAAGAAGAAGAAAGAATAGATGGAACAAATAGAAAGGTAATAGCCTTAAACCCAGCCACTTCCTTAAATGTAAACAGGCTAAATACTCCCATGAAAACAGAGATTCAAATGTGTGCTGTACACTCACCACAAGAAAGTTACATCAGTATCACACAGACTTTCAGATAACTGGACATTTCATAGTAACAAAGTTCAATTCAGTGGGAAGATATAATGTTCCTACAGTTAAAAGCATCTAATAGCATGACTTCAAATTATATAAACCAAAAGTTGTCAGAACTAGAAGAGAAATAGACAAAATCACAATAAGTTAAAGAGTTTTAGAAACTTATTTTCGTATTTGAGTGAATAAGCAGAAAAATCAGTAAGTACACTGATTTGAACAGCGTGACTTACATTAGAGAGCGCTACGGCCAATAACTGCAGAATAGACCTACTCTCAGTGACACGCAGAACATTCGCTAAGGTGCGGTCCATCCATATGGTGGGCAGAACACAAGTCTCGACACATTTCAAAGGATTGAAATCTTATTAAATTTTTGCTCTGACCTCAGTGGGATTAAAAACTGAAACACAACTGAAAGATAATACAATCTCCAAATATGTGGAAGTTAAGAACATAGTTCTAAATGAACCATGGGTCAAAGAAATATCAAGAGGGAAATTTTTTTAAATGTTCGAACTGAACTAAAATAAAAATACAACACATCAAAACGTGTGGGATCCAGCTAAAGCAGTGCTTAGAGAAAAACAGAAAGAAATGCATAGTTTCAAATGTGTATTAGAAAAGAAGAGAGTTTGGAAATTAATGGTTTTATTGTCCATCGCAAGAGGCTAGAAAAAGACAAAGTGAAACCTGAAGCGATTAGAAGAAAAAGGCATATTGATCAGAAGCAACAGCTTTTAAAACACTTTCAAAGACTCTGAGTACTGTTTGTACCTCTAAGGATAAAGGGTGATGGGAACTTCAG